CACACACACACACACACCAGCAGTACGTCCTGCACAGCGGGAGGGGAGGAGGGAAAAAGGCAAAAAGGTAACGGGGCAGCTGCAGCCCTAACGGACCGAACTTCAGTCAAACAAGACCCAACACTTTTATTCATGATTTAAACTAGAGATCTTGTGAGCAGCTGCATGCTTTTATTTTTTTTTATGTCAGGCTGTCTCGGAGCGCTCCACCTCCTCTGTCTGGTGCTGGTGTGGTGTGAGGCAGACAGCTCAGCCGAGGCTGCTGGAGCTGGAGCTCAAGGTCCTGACCCAGGAAGCCAACATGAGTCAGTCCCAGACTGAGCTGACTTGATCAAGTCTCTCTCTGCCTCTGGTGAGGAGGGGGGTGAAAAATCCTCCACCTCAGACCGTTCAGAGATGTAACTATCTGAGTCGCTGTGGTCAATCTCCATGTAGCATCAATTATGCTAATGCTAGCTGTCACGTTCTCCCGTCCTGGCTACACCTCTGCTCTCTAAGCCCCCACCACCACCACCACCCACACCCCCTCCCCTACCCACTTTGATGCATTTTTCAAATTTCGCCTTGGAGCGGAGTTATCTTGGGGTAAGATACACGATAGACAACTCTGGTCTTTATTGAAACAATATTTAAACTTTAACAGTTCTTCATCTCTCTGACGGTGACTCATAATAATCTAAAGAAACGTCCGATTCTTTTCTACAGTCTGTCTTAGCTGTTGTAGCAATAATGCTCTGTTCACATGTAGACATTCCCCTTTGACATCACTTCCTGTTTCTTCACATGCGAACATCTTAACAACTGCTCATCTCAGCAGTGTGAAGTTAGTTTTGCAATATGTTATTAATGTTATCTTTCCAAATACATGTTCATATTTATTACAAAAATTTGATGTCACAGGCGCTTTAAATTGAATACATTTTTTTTTAGTACTATCACAATATTTTTTAATACCAACAGGACTTTGTGCTGCAACTGTAGCAGCAACTTCTTGAACTTCAGTTGGGGGTAGTGTCATTTTCTTAACTTTGGCATTAAATGTACATTATTACAGTTACTTGATATATAATTACTTCTTTGCCTCATTAAAATACTGATTTATATATACAATTATTTGTTATTTAATTCTAAACAAAAAAATAAAGCCATTTCAGTGTTCTAAGGAAAGATTTTTAGGAGATAGACTGGGTATAAATGAGTAGTTGTTCAAAAAAATAACATGTCAGATGAGGTTTTTAATACGTTTTAAATGGCCTTAATGTTTGCTAACTTACTACTTTTTACAACTCAGTGGACACCCAGAACAAAAAATAAAGCTTAGGGTTGCAATGTTCCAAAGTCTATCATAATTTTTTTTTTTAAATCAACAACAACAACAGTAGCCTTTACAAGTCTATATTTAAAATAAGCTCAAAGTGTGCAAACTGATAGGCTGCCTTCCCTCAAAAATACTGTTTCCTAACTGACGGACGACCAAAGATAAGTGCAACTGGACTAAAGTAGAACTGAGTGATACTAGAAAAACTCACCATGTATAATATTATTGTTTAGTATTGTAATGATGATAACAATTGTGATTAACTCACATTTTTTCCTCACTCCTAACTTTCATTTCTGTTACCATCTAAACTAGGTGAGGAGATAAAGACCAGTAACTGTGTTGGATTGATCAAATTTATCATTAGCATGCAAAACATGAAATCTAATAGCCTTAATGACTTAGTGAAGAGATGACCTGACTAACTTCAGATTTGTAATTTCTGACACAAAGTCTCTCCTTAGAATTTGACCACAGCTCTATTGTGCCCTCATGTGGCATTACTGTGCATATTTGTAGGAGTGGGTGGATCTGATGTGTGCTGAACCCCAAACCCCTGGCAGCAGCAGAAGCAGCAGCCAGTGCCACACTTGGATCATTAGGCAGYGCACATTACATTTCCCTCTTTCAAAGCTTTTATGTTCGGATCATGATTGATTGCCTCCATTTGTTTTGGGCGGCCAAGAGCAGCCGCAGACACGCCAAGAGTCTGATTTACAGCTGTGGCTTCCTTTGTTTAACGCTTCCATACAGTCCAGCCTCACAGAAAACCAACACTACCTGCTGGTGAAATCTTCAGTCTCGCATAAAATGGGCACAATTTTGAACATTTACAGACATAATTACACTTCCCCAACCGGCTACACCAAAGTTCGTGCCAAGTTCACTCTCACTGTAGAGCCGTTTAAAAAAAACTGCTTTGTTGTGTTTTTGCCTTGCAGCAACAAAAAATAATTAGACAAAAACAGGATGCGAGCTTTTTTCTTAGCACACCTTTTCGATCAGTTCGTAGCTTTCCTCCAGTTTCAGGGTTCGGTTCTGAAGGGAGGTGCTGGCTCTGTGGTGGATCTCCTGCCAGTGCTGAAAGGACGACTCGCTGATGTCTGCCACCGCAAAGCACAGAGTGCGCAGTCCTGAAAGTTTTCAAAGACACAATCAAAATGCCCCGGTCCAACGCCATGACCTTTTACAGTCCAACATGTGGCTCTCTGTTTAAAGTAGACATATCAAGCAAAATCCACTTGTTTAGCTGTTAAAAGCTGTTTGTGTTGTACTTGGAGTCGCTATGAGTGCAGAGAATTTGAATTTACCGGTAGTCTCTCCTGGTGCTGCGTAGATATCTTTAAATTCTGTTTGGGGTGCCATATTTTTCAACCAGTTCAGTTTTCTGAACAGACAGAACTACCAAATAAGGTCTGGACTTACCAAGTAGAATTTGGTGGTCTTCATTCTCCTCTGGCTCTGGGTCAGACTCTGACTAGATGGACAAGTCTTCCCTTGCTGACATCTTTTAATTCATTTGTAAATAAAAAGTTTCTGCACCTCCATATAGTTGTGAACCCCTCTATCAAACTTGAATAAACCGCTCTGGAAGCTGGAGGGAAGGGGGATGAAGCGCCTCATAAAGAGACAGCCTCAAAATGAATTGATATGTGATACACTTCAGAAAAGAGGTGAAGGAAGGGCTTGTGGAGTTACAATAAGGAGGAGTTTGGAACAAAGCATTGAATTTCCACTTTATATAGACCCCAACAGAATGATTTAAATGGACTATTTCGCGGATACCATTCAGCGCCGCCTACCGGAAGCRGCGYRCAATGGTTTGTGGGATTGTTTGGGGGCAAACAAAAGAAACGTAAACGATGGGACAGGTTATAAAATTTAAAAGTTTGGATTGTTGCGCATTTTAAAAAGTTTATTTTGGTTCCCGAGGTACCAACTTCAAATCAGAAAAAGGACAAACTCATCCAAAACTTTTACCTGCTCAAATGTTGGAATTAGTGTCTAAATGATAGGATCAGGATAGGACAGGAAAGATGGCGATATCTGCGAAATAGTCCACGTGAATAAAAAGGATTTAAAAGCAGGATATGTCTTCTTTAAATTTGAGCTCAAATAGAAGGAATCAATCTGAGTCATTATAGCTCGAGACATGAGGACATGAATCAATATATCATTATAATATAATAATTAAATGACCAAGTATGGAAAGAAACTTGACAGAAAATATTTTTTTACTGAACGTGTAACCTAAAACAAATGCAGAAAACTGCATTCGACACCATTCAACTTTTTTATTTTGCACACATCTATTTTATCTGGACTGTTTATTTGATCTTCACAAATAAACCAGTAGAAACTTTTAGAAACATATTAAATAAGAATCTGATCACTTTATTCACTTAAATAGACAAATTTTCAACTTCTGTAATAATAGGCATTTCATAATGCACCAAATCTTCTTGTATTATTAACTTGGACTGAACTGGATTTGAATCTGGATTTGTTTTGTACTAGTTTGGACTTTTATTTCTCCGCCCTGAGATGACTTTCGTTGTGAACTGGCGTTATGCAAACACACTGGAAAATAATTGATCTTGTTGCCATTTTCAGCTCTTTCCAAATGACTGACTGAAGAGCTTCACAATCTGTCCTGAATGCTATTTTTAGCTCACATCAAATATTTCTGATGACATCATTTCGCCGTGCTTCACCAGGGGGCAGCAGGAGCACAGAGCACAAGAAACAAACAGTGTCTGCTGTTTTACACCCAAAAGTGCATTGCCCTAATTTATTTTACCTGCAAACAAAAAACTTACACCTTAAATAAATAAATATATGTGGAAGGAGAAAATATCTATGGGAAAAATCAAATTCACTGTGCTTCGAAAACAGAAAATGTGACGAAATGCTGCAACTTAGAGGCGACTTCAGACAGGGGGCGATGTTTCTCCACTCACCCTCAGTGGCAAACTGCTCCAAGTGCTTTAATGTGATCTCTTTGTACCTCGAGCTGTCTGCCAGACGGTCGTAGATCACCGTGTCCTGAAGGAAGCAAACCCTCATTGGTTAGTGAGACCCAGAGAGGAGAAACAGAAACATCCTGGACTCAAATAGATCAACTCACACCTACAATTGTTTCAGTTTCATAAAATCCTTAAAAATACATCACATGTAATTTGTTGAACTTGAATTTACATTTAATCTTGAGTGTATAGAAAAACATGTTTGCTGCACAGAAAAAACATTGCCTCTTCCGTACAGAGTGTCGCTGCTACTGATCCAAGAGGTTCTGCAGACTTGTGCTAGCAGGGATGATGAATCAGGTGGTTCTATTGGCTGATCGTCTTCATGTGATGCTCAGTTTGTGTATCTGACTGTGTCACATAAAGCACATTTTATCCTGCTGCTCGCTGAAAAGATTTCCTGATATGAGCAAGAGGCATATAGAGAGGGTTCAGCTCTGAGCGTGTGTGTGTGTGTGTGTGTGTGTGTGTGCGTGGCAATGCTGAGTGATGATGGGCTGTCATTCGTTGCCATGGAGAGGGACAGACACTCACAGCTCCTTTGCAGTAGAGGCGGATCTTCCCAGATGGGGTGCGCATGATGACCGACATCCTCTTTCTTGCGCTAAGAAACAAACAAACAAAAATAATAATAAATAAAAAGATAAAGTCAAAATGAAAAAGATAAAAAAGAAGGTGAAATTAAAGGACTAGCATTGTTTTTAAGACATGCTTATGGTTTTGGTCAATCCTTGTAAATGATGTTATGCGCCATCTGATCTCATRTCAGAGTATGTGTTGGTAATGACTCTCAGCTACTACCACACCCAACTTTAAACAGGGCTCCTACAGTTTAAAGTAAGTTAAATTTAAGAATTTTTAACGCCAAGTGAAATTAAATTTAAGACCAATTTCATAATAAGCCCAACTGACAAAAAATAAATAAATAAATAAAAAATAAAAACTGTGACAGAAACTGATGAATCAAAGTATTTTTGGTTGAAGTATTAAAATATTGCTAATAGATCAATTGTTTTTATCCATATCTAACTATAGCAGAAACATTCTTAGCAGTCAGTTTTAAACTTAATTTAATTTCTGGAAATCCTCTAACRACCCAAAATTTGGAGTTTTAGGACCCACARTGGGGTCTAAACCCCAATTTGCTGTAGATGAAACCTTAAAGTGCCTGTGACATCAATTTTTTGTAAGAAATATGAATGCATTTTTGAAAAGACATTATTAACATATTATGAAACAAATGTCACACTGCTCAGATGGACAGTTGTTCAGAAATTTGCACGTGAAATAACAGGAAGTGATGTCAAAGGGGAATGTCTGCATGTGACAATTTAAAACAATTATTTTTACCAATTATTTTAATATTTGAGATGAATTACAATCATCCTATTTACAATGTGTTAACATTTTTAAGACTTCTGAAAGATTGATTTAAGACATTTTAAGKCTAATTAAGGCCTTATTTTTGGATCGATGAATTCAATGACTTTTAAGACTTTTTAAGGATCTGCAGGAACCCTGTTAAGTGCCTGTGACATGCCTGTCCATCGAATACAATAAATCAAAGAAAACACATTTTTGTATACGAAACCTTGCATAAAAAATGTGATTTTTATCCATTTTATCACATAAGAGGCATATTTTCWTTTGAACTTGGCTCAGACAATGTGAAACAGGAAGTGATGTAAAAAAGGAACACTTTAAGAAAGAGAACTCTGTAATCTTTGTTTATTGAAACAATATTATCTGAACTCTGACTCGTCTTCATCTCTTTCTGATAGTGACTCAAAATAATCTAAAGAAACATCAGATTCTTCTCTAAAGTCTGTGTCGTTACCTATTTTATCTGTGCTTTGTTCCATGCAGATATTCCCCTTTGACATCACKTCCTGTTGCTTCACATGCAAATATCTCAGCAACTGTACATCTAAGCAGCGGGAAATTATGTTTGCTATATGCTAGTAATGTTATCTTTCCAATAAYGCTTTTATATTTATTTTAAAAATTTCATGTCCCCAGGCACTTTAACTCTGTTTAAATCTGTAAAACTCAGTTATTTCTGTCCTTTCTCAGTGGGGGCTGTGGCAGCCACCTTGAATAGGTTGACACTAAAAGAGAATTGATTGTAGAGGCACACAAAACTATGTACACACAAGCAGCTTTACCATCACAATGTCTGTTCCAAAAGCAAAAAGCTATCAACATCTCAGTAAAACCACAAAATTACCCAAATCATAAAAAAATAAAAGGTGACATAAAACATAACTAAAGATTCTACCACAGTAATAATTAAAATATTTTTTAAATACCTTGTAAACTCCAGCACATGAAGTAGTTCGTATTTTTCCTCTGTTCCAAGCTAAATGAAAGAAACAGAGAAATCAAAATAAATGTATACAGAGAGACCCTTAACTTTGTTTTATCAGACAGTTTATTTTCAGTAACACAAATCAACCCTTCCATCTTTTTCAAATCAGCCTTAATTGCAGTTTAAATGTGTTTATCAGTTGCCTCTCCTGAGCTGACAGAGGGGGAAAAAAAACAAGGTAAAATTCAATTAACTTCCTTAATTGTGAGAACTGCTAGGTACAAGACAAAGTGATTAAGTAGACGCTAAAGAGCTTTAGAAAGTCTCATGAAAATTAAGAAATAGGACAGACTTCTGGAACACAAAATGTTCTGACTGGAGATTGAAAAAAAAAGATTCTGGCCTTTGAGCCTCAGGGTTTTTCTGTGTAATTATCAGGTTAGGTAATTAAGCTAACAAAAGGATGGGTGGCCTGAGCCTTAGAGAGGACACACCACCGCAGGTTGGGACATAATTACAACAGTTGTGGTAATTTTTATTCCTAAAAGCAGCACAGCAAACCTTTTTATAGTTTATTAATAAACGCTGTGTCACCTGATCCAAACAAATTACCACTATCACACTGAGACATTTTACTTTTAGATTACGAATTAGCATTTTTATTTTACCTAAGTATTTAATAACACATGCTTTACGTGTTGTTTATTGCATTGTTTTCCTTAGATTCAGCCTACATTCTTGTCAAGACTGTCAGTTGCCCTTATTTTTTTATTTATTTGAAGTCACGCCAGGCCATCATGAAGTTTAAAAGCTTAAGAGAATCCATCCATCATCACAATAACTTGCTGTGCTCCCATCCAACTTGTCTTCACTTACCATTTCCACAATCACACTGTCTGGAGTCCGTCCAGAAAATACAAAGCCAAGGTTTCGAGCTGCTCTCACCAGAGCTCCTTCATCTTGAAAACAACCAAAAACTTAGTTATATGGAAGATGAAGTATATAAGTAAATAGTAAAATATATGGGATGTCATTAGATGATTTAGATAAATATAGTATAAATTTATGTTTTCTATGTAACATCGGATGAAGCATATGTTTGTATGTATGTATTATTTAAACCAGGGGTGTCCAAACATTTGGTCACATGGGCCAAAATCATAAAGTCAGAAAGACTTGAGGGCCAAAAACATTTTTCCTTTACGTGCTCAACAATAAACTAAGCAYTGAATACTTTAATTAAACAAATAAAGTAGTCAGATTTATTGCTGGAAATGGATTTGTCAATTAATCTAGATCCAGAACTTTAAAAGTGTTTTGCAGGTTTCCCTTATTAAAATAAATTTTCTAGGTTTCAGTTGAGGAAAAAATAACTGAATTTAATAAATTCTGATCAATAAAATCAGGATTTAGCTCACTCTTACGTTGAAAATGCTTGCTGTATTCAGACAAATTTAATAAATTAATTAAAAGCAGATTGGAGTGCAGCAAAATCAGCTTTTGAGTAGAAGTCACAGGATAGATGTGGAAAAATATAATTGGTATTGTCATCAATATTTTTTATTGTAATATTTTACTTTGGTTGTGATAAATTTGCCCTAATAATAAATAGTAAGTCTCCATCTACATCGAATGCCTGTTTCGGGGGGGACATATTTATAAACAAATTAGTATAATACTTGAACTGAAGTCAGGGGCCACACAAAATCAGTTCCGGGGCCACAAATGGCCCCCGGGCCATACTTTGGACAGCCCTGATTTAAACTATGGATATAATATTGATATAAAGGTATATTGAAGAATGAAATGTTGTTTAAATGGGTGGGAATTAAATTCTTATGTTACAAAACACTGTTTTTGTATTCTTGTGTATGTGTTTATAYGTATATCCATATACATATGTATATGCTATGCTTTCTTGTTTTGTTTTTTAATTTCATTTGTTGGAAGTATATCTACCTAACGTATCTACCTAACCATCTACAGCACCTCCACAAACAGAAAAACCCTGATTGTCTAGAGAAATGAGTGTGGAACTTAAGGAACGTCCAAACATAAAAAAAATTGAGAGGTATAAAAATGTTATTAAATATATAGGGATGCTGAGTATGTCTGATTATTATTATTATCATTTACTTTTTTTATTTTAATTTTTTTTGTATTTTTTTGCAATATGTGGAGATGTTTGGGGCTGTTGTGCGTACATGTGTGTATGTATACATTTATGTGTGTATGTATATTCACTGCATGTAGATGCACATTTACATTTATGAATATATTCTGGTATTATACAAAATTCTAGGTAAACAGATTGTTGTTTTAATCTTTATAAAATTGTAACTTAGAATAAGGAAAAAGTAGAATTTACTATTATGTTTTATTTTTATTTTTTTTGTTAATAAGCTTCGGAGAAGGATGGGATTAAATAAGTTTTTGACTTCTTCCCATTCCTTTTCAAATACGTTAATTTTGTTATCACTTTTTATCATTTTTTTGTTTTGTTTTGTAGACATGTTTGAAATAAACTAAAGTATAATTAAACTAAATGACATAACATTTATGCACACACAGGTTATTATTTCTAAGAAATAAAGAAAATAGAGAAAAACTACCAGTTAAGGCTATCAAACTGCTTTGATTTCTTTAGGGATGTGAGGTTTTTTTCTTTTTTTTCTTTTCAAATATTTGTTGTGAACTAGAAGAAAATTTTGAAGGCCATGTTTTTATTTAACAGTAAGCACCCTCAGTCTGTTACTTAGATTGAAAGATCACAGTGAGGCTAAAAAAAATTCAAAGCAACACACACCATGTAATTTGCAAACAGGACACTTTTTTAGAGCATTTCTGGCTCTCGCGTGCTCTTCTGAATATAAACGGCATGAAATACTGAAGCCAAGAGGCCGTAACACTCTGCTCCCTCGGCTCAGCCGAAAGAAACTTAATGGAAAATTAAACATTACAGAGAAGCGGCGAGCACGGTATCTTTACAAAGCACCTGGAAGCAGGGCCAGAATCCTCTGATGTGAATTAGTAGAGCTGTAGCTAAAGGCCTGCTGTATTTACAACCTTTCCAGCACAAGTTTAAATTAAAAACGYWGTCAATTTGTCTTCAAGCGCCATCTAAGACAGGAAYGGTCTCTATAATTTTCACATTTGAGCCCCCTAAAGGCTGCACGTGCCAGAGCTAATCATTCCCCCATTTTAAMTACACATGAAGTGTAAGGGTGTGATACTGATAGGAAGAGTAATAAGTTCATGTATTGCATCATTGCTTCCTATTTGCTGCTTGCTCAGAAGTTGATCAGATTTTCTGGTGAAATTCTCAACCTACGTCTATATTTTATATTTGATATTTGACATCCTAAAAGGAGCAGGTGGGAAGAGGCCAGATCAAATGTAAACACTGTACAAAACATACAAAACAAGTACATTTGTGAATAAGTATGGCTAACAATTTATACAACTAACTGAAAGGAAGACATTTGCAGTCGTGTAGGGCAAACCATCACCTTGGCAGGATTCCAGCGCTACATCTTTTGTATAGGAAAAAAGTGTGATACCTGGAGATGCAGCTTGGTAGGTGATTTTTCCATCTGTACGCTCGGGGACTGCAGTGTGACAGATGGCCATCATGGTCATGAACTCCAGGATAACAGCAGCTGTGGGCTACAGAAAGCAGAAAGGGCACATTGACTTTTAATGTTCTTAAATAAAACATGGAACAGACGCAGAACAATTATAAAAGACCTTGATGCRTTTTACACATCTTGTTCTGATCTGTGGGTTTTAAAAATGATTTACGGCAGCCTTAAAGTTGAAGAAAAACATTAACTAATTTGACGTCTTCCCCGGTGTTTTCTTTCTTTATTTAAAACCAACCGAAGTGTTTGTCAGCACCTCAAAAACATGTGGCTTCAGTTCTTAGCAATTAGGTTTAAGCAAACAAACAAGCACTGGTAGCAAGCCAATTGGGTCACATAGAGCATGCCTTCAAGATTCAAGCTCTGACACACATTTAGTCATGCTTTTTCATCCAATATAAACTAGCCTCAGCTAAYGGAAAAAAGAGCCCAACCTACATACTGAGGGCATTTACATTAATGAAGGCACCAGTATGACTAATCTGCCATGGGGCAGACTCAGACAGGCATCTGCTGAAGCTCCTATCTAACACCGGAGGACCACCAGTTTGGAGTCGGCGACTACAGYTGAGTCAGAGAAATCAGCAGCCTCGAAGCTGAAGGCCTGAATAATCTAACAAATAAAGCTATTGTTAACACGGAGCTAAAAACAGACGGAGCAAACTCCAATTCCTACTTTATCATCACCTCGAGCAATCAATACAGCCTTCAGGAACKTACAGTTACACAGTGAGTACACAAATAGATTGATAGTACTATTTAGAGATGCTGAAAAGTGCTTTCCTCCTCTTTTCAAACACAAAGCTGAGCGCTAAAGCTTAGTGCAATACTTGTTTTATTTTTATTTTCAACTGGCATTGAGAACGATGATGAAAGGAACAAAGGAGAAAATAAATGATAGGGTACAAAAAGGGTGAATCAAAGAGACCCTCGTGAGTGAAAATACACAGAGACCATTACASTCCAGGTGGCAGCGAGAAGCCCCTCTGTCTCCTAGCAGCATGCTAATCTGCTCTGAGTTGACAGGTACCCTCTGAAGGACATGTCGGTGTGGATACATGTCTGAGAAGGTGTAAGGGAGATAGATACTGTGTGGGAACAAGATTTAGAGCTCAAGATTGATGGTGTGGAAAGCCAAGAAATCAGTCAGCAAATAACTCTCTCAGTTAATGGTTGTTTACACTTGTGTTTTCATATATTTAAAAGGAGAGCATTATGCAAAATGAACTATTTTGAGCTTTACATTATGTTATAATGCCATTCCCTCATCAAACCACTCCCGTCCCACAGAGCACCCCTCCCCCACACAGTTCCACTAGACTAGCAAAACATATCTTAAAAATGGTGGATATTCATAAATTCATTGCTAAACATGGCTTCATAAYGATTTACATTTATAGTTGCTTTGCAAAAGTAGCTTAACATTGAGAAAATAAATAGGAGATATCCAGTTTTAACAAGCTGAAAAGTCTTGTAAGAGCCTCCGTACTCGCTCCGATTCTACGGAAAACATACTCTGCAGGTCCAACGTGGGATTAATCAAGTAAGGTTCAAATGAGTTGCCATTTTCCAAAACAGATAACATATTATAAACACATTATAAACACATTATAAAATGCTGCTTTTTTT